TGTTTCTTCTGGGTGGGGCCAGGGTGAACCCTGGGCCTGTCATCTTGCTGAGAGACCCAGTAGTGGCAGTTGAGGACATCCAAGGGTGCTTGTGATGAATGGGGTGATGTCTTCCCCGGGCCCTTGAGGGGTATGTGTGTGAGCTGATCTTTGGGGAGCTTTGTCCCGCCAAGAGCTACCCTGGAACCTTCTCCTGTGTCCTCCAGTGCCCCCCTCCTTGCATGGTCTCTGCGCCTCCTCTCTGTCACTGTGTCTTGAACTGGCCTTACTCTGGGGGGAGGTAGGCACGTGTCCCCCATCTGATCCTGGACTTGACAAGTTAAGTTTGAGGCCAAGGCACAGAAATGGAGGTGGGTGCTCCCCCTTAGCCCAGGATTCTTGCTGGAAAAAAAAAAAAAGATGGAGTCGGGTGAGTTGGCCTCTACCTCCTATCAAGTGTGGGGGGAGCAGACTGCACCTCCATCTTGATCGAGATACGCCCTGAAGTAGTTCTGTGGCGGGTTTGCTCTTAGCCAAGGTGGGGAGGTGGTCCAGAATAGGGGGTGCCATCCTAGGGGATTTTGAAGAAACCAGTGTGTTGTAGGGGGGAGGGTCACTGCTGGCAGCCAGGCTGAGGGCACCTCCCTCCTCTCTGGCCATCTTGACCCAACTCTTTGGGGAACCAAGTGCCCTTAATGCCTTTCCGGAAAGGGAGAGGAGCAAGGGGGAACATCTGATCTGCAAATCAGGTCAAGCCCCCAGCGCATTTGCGACTACTGGAGGTGCCCACTTTGGGATTTCTGGGTTTGCTCTAGGCAGGCCAGGACATGTGTGTCACGTGGTCCTGGCCTGCTCTGTGGACTCCACTCTGCCGCCAGAGGACAGGTCCCGTGGGGCTGGCAACTTCATCCCTCCTAAGAATGTCAAATCATAACACTTCAGGTTTACAAGTGCTGTTAACAAGCGTTGATGGGTGGTGTTTACATTTCTAGGTTGCCCCAAAGCAGCCGTCTGGTCTCAGCGGGCCTGCCTGTTAGGAGGCTGCCTGGCCAGGGGACTGAGGGCTCTTGAGGGCCCCCTGGCGGTCAGGGAGAAGAAGTCTGCCAAACCTGCACCTGGTGGGACAGGTTAGGATGGGAGGGCCTAGGGGACAGAGCCCCCCTGGGACAGCAGCCCTTTGGCACTGCCAAGGGGCAGACATCCTTCTAGCTTGAGTGAGGACGCTGGTCCCCAAGACAGGGAGGCGTGCTCAGGGCCTTTCCCACCTGTGAGCCCTGGACAGGTGGGAGGTTAGAGCAGGTGCCCTCCACCCTGTGTTTGGGTGGCCGCTCTGGAGCCAGTGGGACTTGGTGACAATTCCTGCACTGCTGAGCAGTGGGGCTTCTAGTCATTCGTCCTCCTAACAGCCCCCACAGCGGACAGACCCTCTGCCAATGGGGCCGCGGCTGACCTTTCAGGATGTAGCCCCTGAGCTCACCTGTCCTGCAGGCGAGGGGCTGAGCCCATACTGTGAGAGCCAGCTTCCATCTGCAAAGCTTGGACTCCTGTTCCTGCCCCTGGGGGCGGGGGCAGCTGCGGAGTGTGGCCCCAGGGCCCAGGACTCTAGGGTGCACAGTGACACATCGGGGTCCTGGGGCATGTCAGCTGTGGCCCGGGCTCACCACATGCCTAGGCTCAGACCTGTGCCCCCCTATCTGCAAACCGCTGTTGTCTTTATTTTGTCTGCCTCCCCGCTGTGATGCCCCCCTGGGGTAAACCACACGCCCTGGGACGGGTCACCTTCCTGCAGCCTGAGAACCTGCTCCTTGCCAGCAAGTGCAAAGGGGCAGCAGTGAAGCTGGCAGATTTCGGCCTGGCTATTGAAGTGCAGGGGGACCAGCAGGCATGGTTCGGTAAGTGCCTGTTGTCTGGGCGCGGGGATAGGGCGGGGTGCCTGCAGGCCTGGAGCCCCTCACATGCCTCTCGTTCTCACCAGGGTTTGCTGGAACGCCGGGCTACCTGTCCCCAGAGGTCCTCCGCAAGGAGGCATACGGCAAGCCAGTGGACATCTGGGCCTGCGGTGAGGCCCGCGTGCAGGCGCAGGGGAGGCGCATCTGCACCTCCGCCCGCACCACACCCCTCCCAGCCCCGTTGGAATTGCCAGAGTCCCTGTGTGGAAGCTCCCTGCGCGGGCGGGCGCCCGCCCTGCTCTCAGCAGACATCTTGCCAGAGGAGTAGTGGGCGCACGGACAGCCACACAGGATGCGTGGGTGCCCCGCAGGGCTGACTCTGAGCCAGCGGAATAGTGGATGAGGCTGGCCTTGGGCCTCCCTTGTGAAGTAGGGGGGAAGGGGGCCGAGGCTAGGGGATGCTGTGCCTTTCTGCCATCACAAGACTTTCCCATCAGTGACACTGGCTGACTTTGGCTGTAGGGGGTGGAGATCCAGCGCCCTCTTGGGACTTGTTGACTGTGGGCAGGGGTCCCCAACTTAGCTGAGGCTAACGAACTTGTTGAGGGTCCCATAGCCAGAGCCAGGCCTTTTCCCTCTCCCCCACCCCAGCCTGGAATGTAGGTGTATTTTGGGCCCCATGAGGTGCAGAAGCCGACTGGGCACAGGGAAGGGAGGCTGCGGGCGGGGGGGGCGGCATTGTGAGGCCCCTTTCTTGGGCTGTCCCCAGGGGTGATCCTCTATATCCTGCTTGTGGGCTACCCACCCTTCTGGGATGAGGACCAGCACAAGCTGTATCAGCAGATCAAGGCCGGAGCCTATGACGTGAGTGTCCTCCTGGTGCCTCCCCGCGATCTGGGAGGCAGGGAACTGGGGACACCCCCTGCCCAAACTGGGACCTCACTTCCCAGAGTTGTGGCGGAGGTGAAACCCCCAAGATCTCTGGCTTCTGCCTGGGTGGGGCGGGGGGGACTTCAGTCCCTACATGTGTTGCTCCCTTTCCAGTTCCCATCCCCTGAGTGGGACACAGTCACTCCCGAAGCCAAAAACCTCATCAACCAGATGCTGACCATCAACCCTGCCAAGCGCATCACTGCGCACGAGGCCCTGAAGCACCCTTGGGTCTGCGTAAGTGGCCCCAGCCTCAGACCACCCAGCTAACAGGGTGATCCTGGGTCCTCCCCTACACCCCAGAGACCCTGGTCTCCTGAGTGCTGTATGGCGGTGTCTGGGACACATGATAGGTCTGGCGGGTTTCGCTCCTGGGGAGGACAGGAGTGCACGGGTGGAGGAGGCCCACTTCTGTTATGAGGAGACGGTCTAAAGGCGGTTGGAGGGGGGAAAGACGGGCAGGAGGGCAGACAGTTCAGGACAGGAAGAGATAGGCTAAGGGCAAGTGGTGGGGCCTGGCAGGACAGGTGGGGAAACAGAATGGGGACAGGTGTGGTGCAGACAGGACTTAGACAGGCTGGCAGGGGCATGGGCTGGTGGGAGTATGGAGGGGTGCAGATACTGAGGCACAGGAGGTCAGGAGGTGCTGACGGGATACAGATGGGGCTGGGTCAAGGCAATAGGGATAGGTGGGCAGGGGTGGGTGGGGCACAAGTGGACAGGGCATATGGTGACCGGTGGCTCTTGGCACGAGGACCCTGGGGGCATTTGCTGCTCTGAATCTTTTCCTGGCCCCCGACCTTCAAGCCCCCCTTAGGGACAAAACTTCTACCTCCGGGTCCCGGAGCAGTACCTGACTACCACTCTCTCCATAGCAACGCTCCACTGTGGCCTCAATGATGCACAGACAAGAGACAGTGGAGTGCCTGAAGAAGTTCAATGCGCGGAGGAAGCTTAAGGTGAGGCACTGGCCCCCAGCACTGGCCCCACAGGGTCCACATGCTGCCCTGCCCTTCCCCCTCGAGGACCCCATGGGGTGGGGGGTGGCTGCAAGGGTCCAGCAGGCCCAGTGTGGGGAGGCGTGGGAGTCCCAGCCCAGGGCAGGTGCTCGCCAGCAGTGACCCAGACCAGGGGTGTCAGGTGGGCTCAGTCCCACCGTGGCCGTGACGCCTGCGGTGCCCTGGCCCAGCCCCTTCCCAGCCAAACATGCCACCCTGCAAGCCCTTCAAGGGCCACCTGCGAAGTGTTCCCAAGACTGCACACCTGTCTCTCTCGGGCGAAAGGCGCCCTCTGGTGGTCACATGGTCCTTGGCGTGAGGGGAGGGGAAGGTTCTGACCCAGGGCAGACTTGGTGGGGTGAGCAGGGCAGACTTGGTGGGGTGAGCAGCCAAATGTGGTTGTGTGGATGATCAGGGAGGTGACCCCGGATGGGAGCCTGCTGGAGACTGGTGCCAGGCCCGTTCTCCCAAAGGGATGCTCTGGAGCACCCAGACCAGAGCTGGGCAGGAGTGGGTGGTTGCCCTCACTGGTCTCCCTGAAGCACCTGTGCAGAGCAGCCCGCCTTCCTGCCCTGGACTGAGAACACACACAGTGTGTTGTGAGGGCGAGGAGGGGTCGGGGGTGAGGCAGAGCACAGAGGAACTGCAGTGACTGGTGGATTCTTGGGGCCTTGAAGTTCTTTAGAAGCCATGGGCCCAAAGTTCGGGGCTCAGGGCAAGCGGCTGCTTTAATTCTGAGCACAGGTGGTTTGTCTTGGTGCAACTGGTGAGTTGCAGAGCTCTGGCCTCTCTGCCAGGTGCCCACAGGCTGAGGCCGGGGGGACTCCTCCTCTGGCTGGCCAGACAGTCCTCGCCTGAGTCGTGTGTCTCTCCCCAGGGCGCGATCCTCACCACCATGCTGGCCACGAGAAACTTCTCAGGTGAGAGACACCTTCTCGGGAAGAGCAGGCCTGTGCAGGAAGGCTCGAGAATAACCCACTGCCCACCCCTTTCTCTCTGCCGGCCCCTCTCCATCCCTGCCAGCCTCGTCCAGCCTTCCGCCCCCTGCCCCAGACCTTCAGCTATGGAGAAGGTCTGGTCTCCCTACGCGGCCCCTACTCGGACAGCAGGGTCCCCCATCCCGGCACACGGCCCTGTCCCTGCGTGTTGGGTTTCCATGTCTGCTCCTGATGGCCCGGTGTCTGTGCTACCTGCTGTCTGGGCCGAGGCTCTGTGTGTCTGTCCAGCCGTCGGTTGGCACCTGTGTGGCCTTGTTATTCTGAATCCTCTGAACACCTGTTTTGTGTGGGGCTGGGGTGAAAAAGCATCTGGGGCCTCTGCTGGGCTCTGGACACGTGGTGGCCTCCTGCGCCCGGTCACGGACGGTGGCAGGGCTGAGGGAGTGCGCTACTCAACAGAGAGGTGGGGAAGCGAGGTTGCTGGGGATCTGTCAGCGGCCCGAGGCCACGGGTCCCGGCAGGCCCACTGGGACGGTGTTGCCCAAGTGGGGCCAGCTGGCCTTTCGCTGTCCTACGTGAGGTGTCCTTGTCTGTCACCTGTGGCACGGGTGCGGGAGCGTCTGTGTCCATCCTCTCGTGTTCGTTTGCACCCTGGCACCCCACCCCATCCTGTTACTTTTGCTGTGATACTGTGCTGCCGGGAACGGGGGGCATACTGTCACACCAATACTAATAGGACATGTCCTGTCCCATGCCCAGCCGGGCACTGAGAAGCCCCCGCTGGGGTTTTCTAAGGAGAAAGGAGGCAAATGCTTTTCAAATGTCAATCAGTCTCCATCTTGTTTCACTCTCCTGTGAAAGGGATTCTGGAACCATCCGCCACCTAAACTTTGACTCTAATCTTCTTCTGCTTCCTTTGTCTCTTTTCTTCCCCTACCTTGCCCACCCCTCGTCTGTGTCCACCTCCCCTCCCCTCGTCTCTAACCTGGTGCTAACAGTGGGCAGACAGACCACCGCTCCGGCCACAATGTCCACCGCGGCCTCCGGCACCACCATGGGGCTGGTGGAACAAGGTAGATGCTCTTGACCAGTGTCCGCCTGTCGGCATCAGCTCCTCTCACTGTGCACAGCCGCCCCAAGGCCCTGGGAGCCCTGGCTCCCGCAGTGGACATGACCCACAGGGCCTGTAACCAAGGGCAGGGAGACAGCGCCCTATCCCAGGGCCTCATCCCCACCTGTTCAAGGAGGGGCAGGCTATGAGACCCCAAGCCCTGCTGAACCCCACATGCATTTGAATGAGACCCCGCAGTCCTGGCTGAGTCTTGCGGTCTGAAGACCCTTCTGCTCAGGGCCTCTGCTCTCAGAGGCCCCCTCCCTGCTTGTCTGTCCCAACCCCTGGCCATGCAGTGTGGCCTTGACCACCTGCACAAAGCCTCTGGTGGTCTGAGTCTTGAGTGAGGTCTACAGGGAGAAGAGCAGGGAGGCAGGACCACCCTGCCCCGTGAGAGCCACCACCACTCCTGCCTGGGCTGCACCCATCCCAGACTTGCAGGGAGCTGGGGGTCTGAGCACCACACCTGTGTCTAAACCCAAGAGCTCCCAGGGTAGGGGGCTTTGGCCAACCTGACAACAGCTTTGGAGGCCTCTTCTTGGTTCTTCCTATGAGGCAGCCCTCACCTTGGCCCAAGTCTCTGAAGGGAAACATCAGTTTTGCTAACCTCCCGTGGCTGTGAGGTGAATTGCTGGCAGACCAGGCCAGCTCCATCCACCTAACTGTGATGTGGCCAGAACGGACACCTCTGTGGATCCTCTGTACAGCCCAGCCGGGCTGGTAGGAGTTTAGGCTGGCAAAACTGGCCACAGTGGAGGGCCGACCTGGAGCTGTGCAGCCCTGCACGGCCTGCTGGGGCCCCAGTGTGGGCCCGAGCCCCTCCCTGACCCAAGCCCTTTCTCCCCAGTGAGCCCACCACGCTCCTGCCCCATGACCCCACAGGGTGCACAGCCCTGTCTGTCTAACCAGAGGACACTGACCTCCCGGGGTAGCTCCTCCTGCAGAGCTCAGGGCCTGGCCGGCCCCGGGGAGGCAGGACTGTACCCTTGTGACCCTGGTGGGCACGGCTAGCAGGCCCTGGAGGGTTGTTCTGACAGCCTCGTTTTCTGGGTCTTTCTGAAGCACTTGAGGGGAAGGGTGCAGGGGGTTAGAAAAAAACCAAGATAGGGGCTCCTGGCAAAGTCCTGCTGCCCAGGGACGGTGAGTGAGGTGGGTGCCTCAGCCACTCTCTGCCCAGGACTCCAGCCTGCAATGCCCGCCTGCCTGCAAGTGGATGTGAGGCAACAGTGCATGAGACACGTGCATGTGCAGCTCCAGCCTGGGCTCTGAGGGCTGCTCTGTCCCGGGGGGAGGTCAGTGCATGTGGACAGAGCCCAGCATGGCTGTCCCCAAGTGACCAGCTAGGGGTGAGGCAAAAGCTGTGGCCTGTGAGTGAGGGACCTACTCTGCTAGGTCAGTCCACCTCGGCCAGCCTCGCCAGTCCCAGCAGACACGGCTTGTGGGGGGTTTGGTTCTGTGGTCAGCACGTCTTCGTGGTGACGTAGCCCACCCCCCCACCCTCCCCCGCCCCTTGACCCTCAGAGGACCAGGGTGGCTTTGTAGAGAAGTTTCCACTCATCTGAATACTCTAGTCCGGTCCCACTGGGCCTTTGCTGAGAGGAGACCAAAAGCTGTTGGGGTGAGCTGTGGCGCCTGTCCTGGAGACCCTGGGAGCGGGGCAGAGGGTCTCTGCTTATCTCTTGGGGTCTGGGACACCTTGGCTCCTGCTGTATAATAAGTGCGTTTGACTTGAGGCAACACACAGGAGCTGCTGTCTGCTTTTCCCCACTACTGTAGATGAGATTCAGCAAGATTCTGAAATGATCTGGGACAGATGTAAATTTACAGGAAATGTGGTGTCCAGGAGCAGCACTCAGGATGGACAAAGTATGGGCGTCCGCGCTGCACCCGACGTGTGCAGGGGCTAGTTGAAAGAGGCTTCGAAGAAGAGGAATTTGGGAATTGATTAAAAAGACAGATGTCTGCTGGGGACATCCGAGAGCTAGGCCACATTGGTGACTGTCAGTCCCCAGAGGGGCAATTTGTTAAGGAGCATCTGACGCCTTTGGGAGTAGGTTTGATAGAGTCCGGGGCCGACACGGGACCCTCTTAAGACTTAGATGGCCGCGGGTCTCTGTTGGCCTCTGGCTGGGTCTTGGCAGTCTTTCCTGCCTCAAGTTACTGACTCGTCTGTCTGTTCACTGGTTCTAACTCAAGCCAGCTGCTGGCCAAGGTTGCATGGTCTTGCCTGTCTTAAATGAGGGGTGGGGTTGACTTGCATAGCTGCAGTTCTGTGTGCCTTCAAGACAGGCCGGAAGCCACATCCCTCCAGGCCTTGGGAGAGATGTGTCCTGTGGCTGGCTGGTCAACATGGTCGGAGACCCTAGGCTCTATGACCTCAGCACACCCCCCACATCAGGGGATCTGGGAACCTCTCTGTGCCGCCAGAAATGGGGAAGGGAGGAAAGGCCAGGCCAGTGGGGAAGTGGGACCATGCTGGTCAGGAGCCAGGCTGCTGACCAGCAGGCCCAAGCCCCCATGTGTCAGGCCTAGCCTATCCCTCCCTGTGAGTCACGGGAAGGCAGATTGTGGCTGCCATCGGGGGAAATTCCCACAGTTTCTTCTGTGGGAAGTGGACATGGCCCTGAGAAGGTGGCGTTTCAAGCCCTGGATGCCAAGGAGCAGGCGGCTCTGGGGTGGCAGGGTGTCATCCTGAGCCTATCCTGAGTCTGTCCAGGGGTGGGGAGTGTGGGCCAGGGGCTCAGGCCTTGGGAGGATGAAATGCAGAAGTACCTGGGGGACAGGAGTGGTGATCTGTGGCCCCTTCACTTGCTGGAATCCCAAGACACTTCTGGCGGAGTGAGGCCCCCTGGACGAACAGGCGGGCCAGGAGGCAGGCCTGGTGTAACTCTGCTCCTGGGATCCTGGGAGGGAAACTTGAGAGAACTGTGTGGGAAGGAGGGAGGCCAGGGAGAGAAACCACGCCCACCGCTGCTGTCCACGCATTGCCCCGGGGTCCACTGCCCCAGTGCAGCGCCCACTGTCGGCAGTCTGAGCCCAGCAGGGTGGTTGATGATGGGCACCTGCATGGGCATGAAGGAGTCAGCAGGCCTGCTCGCTGCACCTTAGGCCTCCGCTGGTGAGCTCAGAAACGAAATGGGAACCCTCACTGGTGGTTCTCAAACTGAAGCAGCATCAAGGTCCCCCAGAGGGCTTGCTGGATGGATCCTGAGCGCGCCCTGGTGTCTGCCTCAGGAGGTTTGGGGTGGGCCCAGGGATGCTGGCGCTGTTGGGGAGCCCTCTTTTAGACACACCACACCCCTCTGGGCCTCAGTGTGCCCATCTGTCTGATGTGTCCACCCCAAGTTACCAGATCCCTCTGGCGTAAATTGTTCGCTGCCCAGGCCTGCTGGGGGTTGGCCTGGTTCTTCCAAGCAGGCAGCCCCCACTTCAGGGCCTGACCAGCTCATGCTCTGGAGCTGGTGGGGGTGGGCGTGCCACCTTTCTTTCCCAGCTGTGAGCCCCCTCTGGCATCTGTCCCTGGCTGCTTCTCTAACCTGCTGCACTGCAGCCATCCTGGGCACTGCTTGGCTCTGTGAGTGGGCAAGCGGGACTGTGAGTCTTGGGCCCTTTGTCTACCTGAAACGACACAAATCTTGTTTTCTCTTTTTCTCCTTCCTCCCTCCCTTTCCTCCCCTACTCACCTTTCCTTTTCTGTAAGGTAAGCTGACTTTTTTTTTTTTTTTTTTTTTTTTTTGGTAGTTCTGTGATTAAAATGAGTGGAGGGGCAGAAGGCTTTGTGGGAGGTGATGGGTCAGGGCTGGCTGGCCAGGAAGGCCATCGTGCTGGCTCTGAGTGGGAGGGCAAGGCTGGGGCCCAACCCTGTTGTGTTGGGGGGAAGGTGGGAGAGGGACTGAGGCGGGGGCAGGGGACAGTGTTTGGCATGAAACAGGCTGGCTGGGCTTGTGTGTCTAGGGGTGAGGGAGCCCACAATAGAGATGGCTCTCTGACCTTGGTTTTTGGTAATCCTGTTCACCCCACCAGAGCCCAGGCTCCTTGAGCGGTGGGCTGAGAGGCCATTTGGCTGCCCCCTCCAGTGCTCTGAGCCAAGAGAGCCATGGGCTGGGGTCTGACTGGGGGGTCCTGCCTGCTGGGGGTAGGGCTGGGGGGCCAGGAGGCAGCAGGTTTCTAGAGTTGGGACAGGCCCTTCCTTGTCGGGGGGCCAACTGCCTTCCTTCCACCCTCTGCGGGAGGATATGTGGAATTATATGGGGATGCCCACGATTCCAAGCTCCCGCTGGAGGGGGGGCAGGGTCAAGGGATCTGTGCTCTGTCTTATTCGGAACAGAGCCTGCATGCCATCCAGAAGCCAAGGACCCCAGGTGGAGGAGAAGTCTGGTGTCTGGCCCTGGATGGCCATGGAGGACAGCCAGGGGCAGGGAAAATGGGGCCTTGGGCTGCCTTGCTCAAATCTGCTTTGAGCACCCCTGCTCCTGGATCTTGGGGCCCAACAGTCTTGGGGAAAGAGCAGGTTACAGTCCCAGCACCTTGCAGGCCCCTGGGGCCCCGCCTAGGAGGGTGGGCTGCCGTGAGCCTGGGCCCTCACTCATGACGCCTGTTTCTTCCCAACACAGCAGCCAAGAGTTTACTCAACAAGAAAGCAGACGGAGTCAAGGTGAGGCTCGGCTGGGCCCTGGGGGCCTGGGGGCCCAGAGCCTGAAGCTTTGCCCTCACCCCTGAGGCTCCAGCTGGGCCCCCTCCCCCCCATACCATGCAGGCCAGAGGAAGGACTGTGGCCCCATTCCTCCCCTGATGGCTCCTCTTCCTTTCTCCACAGCCCCAGACGAATAGCACCAAAAACAGTGCAGCTGCCACCAGCCCCAAGGGGACGCTTCCTCCTGCCGCCCTGGTACTGAGCCCCTCAGCTCCCTGCTCCACGGCCTTCCCGCAGCCCAGCTCTGTGGTGGCCTCCCATCAGGAGGCCTGGGGTAAAGGTGGGGTCTGGTCCCCACCCTGTGTCTGAGGAAGATACTTGGCCCATCTAGCCCCACAGCCCCTCGGGAATGGGGTGGGGACTGCTCTGCCCCCCTTCAGTCTGGTGTAAGTCTATGCCAAGGAGTCCCTTTTGGGGAGCAGCGACAGGCCCAGCTTCCTGTCTATGCTGATCTGTAGCCAGTAGGCAGAGGCCTTCCGGGGGCCAGAGGGCCAAGACTCAGAACCCAAGGTAGCCGCACTCAGCTCCTCCGGTCTGCACAGGAGTACACAGCACCTGGGCTAGCCAATTCTGCAGAGGGGTGGGCTGGGGGAGTTCAGATGGGCAGTGGACACTCCACTGCGCCCTTCCTGGATGTCCCAGTGGTGTGCCGTCAGGGAGATGGAGGCGCTTTGCTACTTGCCCTCACCAAGGTTGGTCACACTTCTGAAGGCTTTGTCTTCCCCAGGAAGAATGGGGAGGCCTGATATTAGCATCAGAGCCCATTCAGAGATCTGGAGGGAGGCGGAGACCCCTCGGTGGCTTCCCTGATGATGGCCGAATAGTCATCTTTGGGTCTAGGCCAGCAGCAGCCAAGGCAGTCTCTCAATCAGAGCCCCTGTTCTGCAGGCCCAAGATGGGTATGGGGTTGCCGGGGTAGGAGCATGGGCCGGTGGGACCGACCTCTGTGGGAGGGGGCCGAGGCACTCTGCTGGGGGGTGGGGGGGTGGACATGAGCTTAGGGCCTGCCAGCTCTGGCCCTTGTCTGGGTGGTATCTAGCGGGTTCTGTCCCGGGGAGTCTCATGGCTGGTGGCAGGTAGCTGTGACCTTCCAGGAGGTTTGATCTCCCTGCCAAGGGTGCTGTGTTGGCACCCGAAGATAGGGCTGGCTGGTGCACAGTGTCTTCACTTGCTAGAAACACACGTGGTGACCCCATGGGTTCCAGGAGCCAGCCCCAGAGTCACAGGAAGGCTATGTGCCAAATGGCATTCCAGGAGTGGGGGCAACCTCGGCCCAGGAGGGAAGAGCTGGTGGGCATGGCAGGAGGGTGGCCTGGGGGCCTCGTAGCCAGCCCCGTCTCCGACCCTGTCCATCTCATGTGCCACCCCACCCCATGGCATCTTCAAACCTGTGCCCCACCATGCCAGGGCAGAAGGTCTGGGCAGCAGAGGTCGGAGACAGTGCCCATACGCGGTGCCCACACACATGCAGCTTCTCACTACCGCCTCAGCTCACCTGCTCCATTCCCCTCCAGCACCCGCACCAACCAGCTGGGCAAATGCGCTGTTCATTCAAGCTGGCCCCCCAGGCTCCTCTCCCAGCCTGCTCCACCTCTGGTCATTTCTCCCTCCATCGCGCTCTGCTGCCTCTTTCCTCTCTCCCAGGCTCCTCCTCTCGGACCTTTCTCTCCTCTCATCTCACATTCCCTCTCTCTCCCTCCTCTGTGCTTCCTTCCTCTGTAGGAGCCTCAAACCACCGTCATCCATAACCCGGTGGATGGAGTCAAGGTACGGTGGCGCTCCTCACCCTCAGGGGAGCAGCCCCAGGCCCCCCGCGACGGTCTGGGGCACTGGCCCCAGGAGAAGCATTTGCGCCAGGCGTGGCGGGGGCTGGTGTGTGGTGACCCACTCCAAGGCCCGGGCGCTGTCCTGGGAGGCAGCTGTACCGAGTGGACCTTTTCCCCGGGAAAGGGGTCCACTTCTCATGATCCCTCCTGGCTGCCCACTGTCCTCTCCATCCTGCACTGGCTTGCAAAGCCAGGAGTGTGGGGTCCACTTCAGAGGTCCCAGGGGAGGGGCTGACGTGGGCTGCCCAGTGTGCCCCCCTGTGCTGGGGGGAGGGGAGCAGCACAGACCCTTTGACCTTGTCCGTTGCCACGGCGCCCGGCCCCAGCTTCCTGCTGAGTGATCTCTCCCCTGCCCTTCTCTCTGCTCTGGCATCCCATCCCATTGGCATCTTCACCCTCGGGCCAGGGAAGGGGCTGGCTCTCCGGGGTGGTGGGAGGGGTGAGCCAGCGGCCGAGCTGTGTTTCTAGGACCAGTGCCACCCCGCCTGCACCCAGGCCTGCAGCAGACCCCGCCTGGGCCTGGTCCCCTTACTGTGGGCCAGGACCAGGAGGATCACAGGATGCCTCTCGGTGGTTGGCTTAGACCTAGGGAGCTAGGAAGGGCCTGGGCAACTTCCCGGGGGCAGGTGTTCCTTGGGCCCTCTGTCTGGAGTGAGAGTCTTGTTTTCCCTAGGAGGGGCCACTCAACAACAGGGGGTGCCTGTGGTGTGTCGCCTCATCCTGCCATCTAAAGACTTCCCATTTTTGGCCCAGGGCCCAGAGCAGTGTTTCCAGTCAGGGGCCCCGAAGGGGTACCTAGAGATCCTGAGAAAAGTGTTCCTTCTGCAGTAAGCAGATACCCTGAGAACTCAGTGACAGGAGGGTTGTCCCTGGCTGCTTATCTGAAGGGCAGCAAGCCACTGACAGGGAGAGAGCTAGACAACGGGGGGCTGCTTCCACCTCCCTGCAGGCCACCTGTGAGGTGAGACTGGGGTTGGCTGGACAGTCCAGGTCTGGGGCGGGGGGGTAGGAGGGAGAGAGGTGTGGGTGGCACCTTGCTCTGCCTAGGGCCAGACTGAAGTTCCTGGGACTCTACTGGAAGCTTCTAACTCTGCCAAAACGCACAGGCTGGGGGTGCCTTGACTCTTCAGCAGGCGCCTTGGAGTCTCAAAAGGCCTGTTTTCCTCGTGAAAGAGTTGTCTGAAAACAAGGAGTCTTTCCAATAGGCATGTCTAATGTGAGAACTCCGGGCCCTGGACTGTTGGGGTCATAGAGGTGGAACCCTTGGGGGATGAGCCATCCCAGGGGACAGTGTGAAGAAGCTTCAGCATTGTCTGTGGGGTGCTGGGGCTGGGGACGGTGGTTCCTGAGAGCGTCTCCACTGAGGGCGCCCCTGCTCTCCAGGCCTGGGTGGGCCGGGGGCAGAGACCACATTCTGACCTCTGCCTCCCCCTGTCTCTCCAGGAGTCTTCTGACAGCACCCACACCACCATAGAGGATGAAGACACAAAAGGTACCCACAGGGCCGCTGTGGTGGGCCATCAGTGGACGGGGTCCCAGTCCAGGAGCTGGGGCTGGAGAGGCCGGAGTTGGCTGCGTGGGTATCTGCTGGTGCTGACCCTGCTCAGAGACACAGCGGTCACAGCCCCGCTGACCTGGGAACTGGCCTGCTCTGTGTCTGTGTGGGCACAGCCCTTGAAATGGGCACGGTGTCCCAGCAGGTCAGCCGGGGGTCCCGACAACAAGCAGGCAAGGAAGTGAGGCGCTCCGGTGAGGGGCTGCTTCTCCTCACCTGGGACCCCACTCCCTCTGGGGCCCAGGTACCCGGTTCCCAGGAGGGAATGAGTTCGTGGCTGAATCTGTCGTTTCTTCTCTTCAAGTTGTTTAAATGTGTGGCCCTGCCTGCCTGGCAGTTATTGGTGGGCAGGGAGGAGGAGGGGTGCCCCCCAGGCTCCAGCTCACTGTGGGGCAGTGGGGGTTGCAGAGAATCGTGTTGGGTCCTCGTTCAGGCCTCAGGGCTCCTCTTCCTCTGCTGAGCAAGGCCAGTGGTTTTGCCTGGGTGCCAGGAAGGCCCTGGCGTGTTCTGCATGGCACACTTGCCTGGGTTCAACCCTTGTTCCACCCTCGGCTCTCCAGGCCTGGCATCTGGCGACTCACTCCACCCTGCCCAGGCCGGCTGCCCCCACTGGGACCATGTCACCGCCACCATACACTGGCATAAATAAGCCTGGAGCACCCTTGGGTTTGCCCCAGTTGCCTGCGGCCAGCCTCTCCTCAGTCAAAAATTCACCTACTTTTTTCCGTTGCTGACGGCAACTCTGTCCTGAATGTCCCCCATGCCCCCCGGTGGAGTTGAGCACAGGGTTATGGTTTCTGGATGTGGGGAGAACTTTCCCGTCCTTTCCCCTGACTCCAGCAAGTCCCCAGCCGTGGGCATGGAGGCTGTCCAGACCTAGCAGTTTGGTGCTGTTCGGGGAAGTGAGATGGCCCAGGCCTGCAGGAAGGGGGTTGGAGGGCTGTCCTGGTCTGCCTCTTCAGACTCTGACCCCTTGCCTGACCGGGTCAGAAGGGGTGGGAAGATATCTGAGCAGCCTTGGAGGGTAGGTCAGGCCTCCAGTACCAAGGGGCAGGGCCTCGGCCTCTGTCTCAGCTGTGTCGTCCATCTGAGGCAGAGTGGCCTAGACAGGTGCCACGTGCCCCAGTGGCTGCTCTGAGTCTAGCCCCGAATAGTCATGTGCCTCCTCCATATGCCCGCTGTGACAGCACAGCTCTGGGCACCACAAGGGTGACGCTAGCCCCAGACCCCCTGGACACCGTGTGGCCGACAGGTGACTGCGAGTTGTGCCATGGATCTGGGGTTGTCCTTCTCCTGCCCCTTCTCTCCCACCTGCCCCAGCTCCCAGGGTCACTGCCATCCTGAGCTCTATGAGGAAGGACTCGGGAGCCTCGGGAGCTGAGGGCCCCCACCCTGCCTGTTTCTGGGTCCCATTAACCCTCTGCCCACTTAACATATGTAATGAGGCTGCTGCTGCTGCTCAGTCTCTGAGGGGAGTTTCCAGAGCCAAGGGCCGGCCAAGCTTGGGCTCCAGATGACTCCCACACAGTCCCCCTTTGAGTGGCCTCTGCCCTGAGGCCTCCTCTGGCCTGGGGGGCCTCCTCTGGCCTGGGGGGCCTCCCTCGCCTACCTTCCTGCTCAGGCAGCAGATTCAAGTGTCACCTCGCCTCAGGGCAGGGGAGAGCTCTGCTTCCTCTCCCCTGCCCTCTCCCTGTTGCCTCCTGGTCTGTCTCCCTTTCACGTCTGTCTGTTCACCCAGCCCCCAGGATCTCTGACATCCTGAGTTCTGTGAGGAGGGGCTCGGGGACCCCAGAAGCCGAGGGCCCCCTGCCCACCTCATGTAAGTAGAGCCTCTCGGGCCTGCTGCCTCGGCTGCAAGGGCTCCTGCGAATGGCCGGCACTGAGTGACTCCCTGTGCCCTGCCGTGCATGGCCTCAGCTGCACCCCAGGCTGGGCTGCCCCAGGCCTGGCTCACCACCAGAGCCTGATTGGGTTCTGGGGGCACATGCCCTAGCTCCGCAGAGCAGCTTCTGGGTGCTCCCTCAGGAGCCCAGCGCCCCCACAGCTCACTCCATTCCACTCCAGGTGAGAGGCTCCTGGGCTCTTCTGAGGCCACCTGCCCTCCCTCAGACTACCTGCTCAGGCCTTTCCAGACTCACAGCGGGCGCCTGGAGTCCCACTTCCTGGGCACCCCTCTCAGTCAGCGAGCTGAGTAAGGTGCCAGAACCCCAGCCAGCACCCTTCTTTTTCTTCTTTCACTCACGCTTTCTCCCACCTCTTGAGCGCTCACCAAGGACTGGTCACGTGCGGGCTGCTTCCTCTCTCCTCTGGTGGCCTCTGCCCACAGCAGCTTCCCATCCCAGCTCATACCTGGATGGGTGGGTGCATCTGCCTGAACACTCCTGGAGCCTGCCCCTCATTCCCTCTCGTCCCACTCTGTCCCCATGTCCTCCTCTGTCCCCCTCACCCTCTTGTTTTCCGTCTCCCCACATCCCTGCTTCCCAGCCGGCTTGGTTCATCGGCCCACAGGGCTTCTCTCCTGTGTCTCCTTCCTCCCCCTCGTGTTCACCTCTGTCTGTTCACCCCAGCCCCCAGGATCTCTGACATCCTGAGCATGGTGAGGAGGGGCTCAGGGACCCCAGAAGCTGAGGGCCCCATGCCCTGCCTGTCTCCGACTCTCCCAGGCCCCTTGCCCACCCCGAGTAAGTAGCACCTTGAGTGGGCCTGGCTGTTCCTGGGAGCTCACAGGGGTGCTGAGACCCTCCAGCGGTGGTGTGCTGCCCCCCTCTCTGAGAAGGGCTCGGTTTATGGGGAAGGGTCGAGAGGCGGGGGAGGGGAGTGCAGAGAATTCCACATGAGGAATTTCAGAAGAGAAATTGTGGTTAAAGCTGCGAGTGTGAATGCCGCTTTGTAGGAAGTGAACCTGAAAGCCGGTTTGGGGTAAGGCTGAGCCTCACACTCTTGTGGTCTGGCGTTTCTCCTACAGCAGAAATGTGGTACATGGAAACTGAAAGACTCAGCGATGGTGATGGTCGTGGTCGTGACAGTCATGGTCATGATGGTTGTGGTCATGGTGGGCTGGCCAGGGTCGTGGCTGGGGTCATACCCTGGAAGGGTGGGTCTCTTGGGCCATGATGCTCAGGGTGGGGCAGTTCGAAGCAGAGAGGAGTTTCTGATTCTGAGAAGTCCGCAATTGGTGTTGGGGGCCACTGCCTCCAAGGGGCCGGGCAGTGGGGTTGTGGCCTGGGGCTGGGCTGCCTGGGGCCAGCTCTCCAGACTGGGAGGAGCCACCTGCTCCAACCATCTGCCAACTGCCTGCCAGTATCACTTACAGGGGTGGATGACACCCTGGGCTGCAGCCTCCAAGCCCTCTGGGGAGATGCTCTCAGAGAAGCAGCTGCTGGGCTGGGGCATGGCAGGGGAGTGGCTAGGTGAGTGCTCAGTTGGGAAGGACACTGATCCCCCCCAAAGCCAGGCTGGGGAAGAGGGGGGATCCAAGTTACTGGGGAGAGGGAGAGGCTGGAGTCTGAAGCCTTCAGGCCAAAAGCACTCTGAATCTACCCCCGAAGCCAGGAGGGCAAGGGGTAGCCTCTGGGGAAGCAAAGGGTGCAGCAAGAGTTGTGTGCTTGGCCCCAGGGGTTGGGGCCACCGTCCCTTGCCCCCCCCCCTCCCCAGGCTTGTTCGAGGGGATTTAGAGATGAGTCATGGAGGAGAGACACCATCACTTGCTGGTGGTGGAGGTGGATGTGATGTTATGGTGGGCTGTGGTGGGTGGGCAGTGAGCCTGTGGGAGGAGGTGTTGGAGGCCCCCCCCATTTATGCAGCATCTTATCGGAGCAAATGCCTCGAGTTTCCTACGTCTCATAACCCCAGAGGAGGACCTTGAGGCTTGGCAGCATGGAGGGTGCAGCCCCCTGCAGTGGGGCCCTCACCCAGAGTCGCCCATGGCCCTCAGGGTCTGCACGGCCGAGCGGTGGGGCCTGAGGACAGAGCCGGCGGTGGGTGCTGATGGCCCTAGTGGGCACAGCGCAGACCTCCTCAGGGGTCTGTTTGACAGGGGATGTGGGCAGAACTGAGCAGAGGAGCCGTGGGGGTCTGGAGCTGGCAGGTGTGTTCAGGACGTGTGGACAAGGCCGCAGAGGAGCAGCGGGATAGCCCCAGAAGGCGTGCGTGTGGTGCCGGGTGGCGTGTGCGCGGCCGCTCTGAGCAGACTCGGTACATTTGGAGGTTGAGGGCAGAGTGACAGCCCCCACCGGGCTCCCTCAGGGAGCGGGGCCTGGTTCCTGGATGCACCCTCTTTCCCCACCCCAAGGCCTCAGCATCCAACTTTAGCGTTGGGGTGCTGAGGTGAAGGAATGGGGTGCGGTCAGCCCAGAGAAGGGACCTCTGAATGTGCAGGGCTGATACTAGCTTGCAGTGGGTCTGGGAGGGGGAGTGCCAGCACCGGCTGCCCCTCCCCTTCAACACCAGGGCCAGGGTCCACCTCTCCAGCTCCGAGTCCCATCCCTGGGGTGGGTCATGAGGCCCCTGCTTTTCCTGGGAGTGTTCCTGCCAGCTGTCTTGATGTGTAATGGAGTCCGCGCCCAGGGGCCCACGCCCTAGCCGGTGGTCGCCATGTTCAGGGATTACACACCCCCCAGGCCGATCCTGTGTAACTGCCTGTTTGTTGGGGGCTCTTGAGGCCCCAACAGCTGTCAAGGGATGGGGCTTGAGGCCCTCCTGCACCCTTTGCTAGCAGCTGGGCTTCTTGCATACTAACTTGTCCCGAGACAACTGGAGGGGGATGGGGACTCTGATGCACCCCTGGGACCCCTCCAGAGCCAGGCCCTCATTCACCCAGCTCTGTCCCTGGAGTCATTTCTCGAGGGAGGCAGCCTGCTCTCAGCTGACATGCTTCACCACCCAGGGCATTCCTGGAGCTGCACTAGGGACCGCACGACTACACGGCATGCCCCTCAGCAGGCAGGTGGCCGCTGGCCCTCACCCCTCTGACCAGGCTCTGCAGCCTCAGCTTCCTCTACATACTGGGCACCAAACTTCAGGCTTTGTGGTTGGTGCTGTGGTGGAGGCTTTTCTGTGACTACCTTTACTTTTTCCTCACACTGAATTTCATTTCAAATTCCAGTCCATTTATGAACCCTCAATATTATTTCATTACGTGAAAGCTTGGCTTCACTTACCATAGTGTGTAAGGTGACTATAAAATCAAAGTGTGCTCAAAACAACAGCTCTTCCTGCTTCTCTGCTCTTGCCAGTGGAGAGTGCACTTGGGGTGCGGAGATTAACAAGTGTTGGGCTGTGGGAGACGTGCTCCTCCCCTTGACAATATTAGCAAGGTGGCCAGGAGGTGGTAGCAGGAGGAGAAAGGTGGGGAGGGCCGCCCCAGATGGGAACCTGGCCAGGGGAGGCTTGCTGTGGTAGGGCAGGTGGGGCCTGGCATGGGGGGCAGAGGATGGGCAGGGAAAGACCTGAGTTGCAGTTGGGAGGGAGGTGAATGAGGGCCCAGAGAGGAGAGGGCCGAGAAGAACTGGGAGACACCCCGGCAGAGGGTGAGAGGTGGGTGGGTTGCCCGAAGTCTCCAAGAGGAGGAGCTTTGCTACTGGGGTGGTTTGCTGTCGCTGGTGAGCCCAGCAGGGGCAGGCCCTGCCCGAGGGGCAGGGGAGAGGGACAGCATAGCAGGAGTTCGCACAGAGCTCTGGGGGAGGTGTGCGCAGAGCCAAAGTGGAGGTGGCCGCGGGGCACTGGAACGGGCAGCCTACCCTCCTGGGGGCGGCTTCCAGGCCAACCAGGCAGGTGGACCTGGATTCTGCAGACAACCCTAAGCTGTGACGTGGTGCAGGCACAGAGTTCAGCAGGAAATGGAAATAGAACTGTAGCAGAGGAACAGCTGGGCCAGAGAAAGGTCGTTGTCAAGGTAGGGAAGGCTACAAGTGCTTACAAGCACACACGCACACACACGCACGCACACACGCACGCACACACATGCACGCACTCACACTCATGCACACAGTGCCCACACTCCCGGGTGACACAAGCACAGCCTTGCACATGGGCACCCAGCCACTCAGGGGTCATTAAGCGCCTCCTGAAGTCACTGCACAGCGCCCTGGCAGCACCTTGCACGCCCCACTTGCACCTGGGGGTGCCTGAGCTCACACAGAGCACAGCCTCTTCTGCCATGGACGGGCCACCTCTCAGGGAAAGTGAGCAGCTCAGCAGCTGGAGGTCAAGCAGGCAGCCCCCTCGGGGCAGTGAGCACAGGCTTCGGAATGCTAAGTGCAGGCCTTTTGAGGCTGGCAATCCTTGCTCTGGGGATTTAGTTCCTGGTGGCAGCACTGGCAGGTGGAGACTGGAGATCCACAGATGTCTCCTTGAGCGAGGATGCCCACCCATGGGTGGGGGGGCAGCTGGCAGTGAGGGAGTGCCTGGTGCAGGAAATGTTGCAGCTGGTGTGGCCACTGGGAGGGACCTTGCATGTCTCGGGGCTGTTTGGCCACAAGCAGGTATTGTTTTGTTTTTTTTTTTTCTTTTTTTAAAGATTTATTTATTTGTGTATACAGAACTGGGGTACAGGCCAGAGGCTCAGGGGCAGTGAGAGGCTTCACCAGAGACAGAGTGGGGAGCAGAACAGGCAGATTGATGAAGTACACTGCTGAGGGGAGCAGCGGGCGGGTCAGGAGAGGTCTGCCACGCCATGTGGCCACCTCCTGGGCAGGCGGGAATCGAACTCACGCGGAAGCGGCTTTAGCTTTTCAGTGCTGTGCTTTAACCCGCTGCGCCACCAGGGAGGGCCAAGCAGGTATTGTTTTAAGAATGCCCATGATGGTTGTGTGTGAGTGTGCGCATTCAAGGATGAATATACCTGCAAGGAAGTGGTAAGAACCTGACTCAGGGCAGCACTTCCCTCACGAGCGAGTGAACAACACATTCACTGTATCTGTAAGGTTTTCTTTAGAAAAAGCCTGAGAAAAGTCATTCAAATTTGAGGGTTATATTATTCTGAGTTTTCTGGATGTGTAAAGTATTTTGCATGAAAATAAATTGTAGCTAAAGAGACAAGGGGATCGCTAGTTTAATACCCAGGGCTTTGGCCTGTCTAGGAACAGAGCCCCTGGGGCAGCTTGGAGAAGGCGGCTCCACCCAGATGCCGGGATAGGGATGGGGGGTGCTGGAGGGCAACATTGGACAGGGATGGGGGGTGCTGGAGGGCAACATTGGACAGGGATGGGGGGTGCTGGAGGGCAACATTGGTCGAGGATCTGGAGGTGACACCTGCTGGCATTCTTGGGCCTCCTGGGAGAAGAGGGGTGAGACAGGTGGACTGCACTTGCCTGTACCCCTGCAGCCCTGTCCCCCAGGGCAAGAGAGTTTGTAGCCAGCCCCACCCTGCCTTGGAGTCCCTTCCAGAGCTGTGGATGCAGGAGGACTAAGGGAGCCCATTCCAGGTGGGCACGGAGCCAGGAAGCTTGGGAATGTGGCCTGGAGGACTCGGGGGGAGTTGGGCAGTGGGCACCCTGGACTGCTGGTGCCAGGTTATGGCAGATTTTGTGTTCCCTTCTGGTGTTTTCCAGACATTTTGTATCATTTGAAGATGTTTTATTTAAGGCAACTAAGAGAAACGCTTGGACTGGGAAATGTGGGCGTGGCTGGGGCTGCACTGTCTTCCTGGGAGAGGAGTGGTGGGTAGGGGCCCAGGCTGCTGCAGACCTCTCCACTCACTTCACCTCACTCCCTTGCCGTGGGCCTCTGGGGCTGGTCCATGGGTCACTGGGTGGCTGTGTCTCCCTGCAGCGAGGAAGCAGGAGATCATCAAGATCACGGAGCAGCTCATCGAGGCTGTCAACAACGGCGACTTTGAGGCTTATGCGTGAGTAGAGCACCTGGGCCCCTCTCTTGGGGGCCCTAGGTGGGCTGTGTGGGGTACCCTCATTTGCTGTGGCTTTCCCTGGCGTGAGAGGGGAGGATGGGAGGGATGGAACACAAGGGGGTGAGGGGTGGGTTCACAGAAATGTGCCCTCTCCAATGGGTCTGGCCCCCAGGAAAATCTGCGACCCAGGCCTGACCTCCTTTGAACCTGAAGCTCTGGGCAACCTGGTCGAAGGGATGGACTTCCACAGATTCTACTTTGAGAACTGTGAGTGAGGGAGCCAGCACCTGAGAGCCCCACCACCCCTCAGTCAGGGGCCAGGGAAGGCCTGTCCCCTTCGTGCCCAGGATGGGCCAGCCCCAGCTGCCACCTCTAATGGCAGACCCCAGGTCACGCTGGCCCTGCGACCTCCTGGAAGGGCTGTAGGGCACCCCCTTTCCAAAGGGGATTGGGAAGGGGTGGTATGCTTGGGGGTGGTGGCTGGCGGAGGGATCAGGCTGGCGGGGGCTCCCTGGTGGTCAGCCCCACCTGCCCGCCGGCAGTGCTCGCCAAGAACAGCAAACCCATCCACACGACCATCCTGAACCCGCACGTGCATGTCATCGGCGAGGACGCCGCGTGTATCGCCTACATCCGCCTCACGCAGTACATCGATGGGCAAGGCCGTCCCCGCACCAGCCAGTCTGAGGAGACCCGCGTGTGGCACCGCCGTGAGGGCAAGTGGCAGAACGTGCACTTCCACTGCTCGGGTGCGCCCGTGGCCCCGCTGCAGTGAAGGTGAGCACCCCGGGGGGGAGGCCGGTGGGCGGCGGCACGGTGAGGTAGCCCTCCGCTGAGCAGGCCTGAGGCCCCACCTTGCAGATGACACCCCCGGGTGGGCAGGACAGGGGCTGCTTGGAAGCTGACTGCTTGCCCCCACCCACCTCTTTTCAGAGCTGCGCTGGTTTCACGGGACAGACTCAGTGTTTGGAGCCCAGCTGCCCTCGGGGCGCGGCCTGCCTGTCGCATGTTTGTGTCTGCCTCGTTCCTCCCCTGGTGCCTGTGTCTGCAGAAAACCAAGACCAGATGTGATTTCTTTTTAAAAACAAGATGACAGTGACAACCACAAAAAAAAAAAAAAAAAAAAAATTTTGATGTGGATGAAATGGAAAAAACTAAAGGAAAAAGCTGTAAAAATCACTGGCATTTGTGGGGCTTCAAACCGACCGGCTGCTCCCCACCCAAGCTCCATGTGTGTTCGTCTGCTCCTGGCCTCCGGGGACCAGCTGGGGCAGTGAACTTGCCCAGGGATCTGTTGCCGTTGAATGGCGCCCACCCCCGGCGTCTGCATCCTCCCTGCCATGCATGGCTCGCTGTCAGGAGTGTCAGGTGTTGTCTGGGAAGGAAGCTGTGGGGTGCCTGCGCGTGACTGTCCCTCCTGCTTCCCTTCCCTTCCTCCCCGTGAAGGAGGGGTGTCGGTTCCCTTCCGTGCCCGGTGTCCCCAGGCTCCCGCAGGCCCAGGGCTCCAGTTCTGGTCCTTCCAGAGTCCGGGAGGTGTAAAGGGGGGCATGCCTTAGTTCCAGACGTGGTGCCTGGAAGCAGATGCACCAAGAGGACGCAGTTAGCCACTGCCCTGGGGAAAGGACATCCCTCGGGCTGGCCTCCCTTCTGTTTGGAGAGCTTCTCCCCTTTTGCCCGCCCTCCCCCTCCTGTGTGCCCACAGAGGGGTGCGGGCCTGGAGTCTCTAGGGCTCTCTTGGAAGTACAGGGGTCAAACGGCAGGTGGTGCCTGTGGGGCTGGGGCCGGGTAACACCGGGAGCCAGGCTAGTGTGGCCGAAGTGGCAGTGATTTGGAGTCTGGGCCTGTAGCGGAAGGGTGGGGAGCACCCAGGTTTACTGCAGGGGAGGACTATGCGGGCCGAGAGGGCAGAGCAGGTCTGATCCAGCTAAGCCTTGTGGAGGCTGCAGGGACCAGCGGTGGGGGAGGTGGGCTGGGTCACCCTGGGGACCCCTTGTGCTGGTGGGAGCTGTAGCGAGGCTGCTGTGGGAGGGGTCAGATGGCCGCAGAGCAAGCCCTGGGCAGTTGGCCAGGGGGAGGGTGGGGCTGAAACTGGCCTGTTGGGTTATAGTGGAGGGGTGTGGTTAGGGACCATGACCTCAGAGGTTCAGGGCCCTCCCGCCCCAATACCTGCTCCCAATAGTTCACGCTATTTCAACACATTGTTTTCTTTATCTTGCCCCACAAATCAAACCAAGGGAGGGGCATGGAGTGGGGACAGGACACAGGATGCTGATCTCCAACGGGACTGTCCATCGACAGACACAGAGTGGACACTCTCCTGCCCACCACCAGCTGTGCTCAGTACAGCTGTCCCCACCCATGGACACAGGGTAAACATCCGACAGGGCTCACCATGGACAGCGTGGGGCCTGGCCACCCTCACCTCCTGGGGCTTCTTCCCCCCCTCCTACCCACCTGTCATTTCCAAGGACCTGCCTGTCTGGGATAATTTGGGGAATTTTTCTGGGGGATAGTTCTTTTGCATGACCTCTCCTGAGCAAGCCACACCCGCTCTTCTAGCTAGATGTCTGCGGTGTGGCTGTGGTGGCGGCCCGCCCTGCAGAGGGCCGGCTGCCCGCGGTGCTGGCCGGCCTCTCCTTTTCTCTTTTTGCTGAGTTTCATTGTCTTTTCTTTCTGAGCCTTGTAAGTGTACAAAAATTATTTTGTTCTGTCTCGGGAAACTGCAAATAAAAGAAAACAGGACAAACTCCTTTGAGTGAACTGGGTGCTTTATGCAATGCCCATTAACGCCATCCCCCCCTCTGATGGGTGGGCCTGAACTACCTCAGGCTGCAGAAGTCCCAGATCATGTGCCTTGGTGAGGCCCCTCTCTACAGCTGCTCCCACCGCTGCTCCCTGAAGTCCTCCGTCTGCCCTGAATGCTGGAACTGAAACCAGCCGCTGAGCCCCCCAGCCCCAGCCTCTTCTGTAGTCACTCCAGCGACCTCCAAAGATGAGGCTGAGAAAGGAGCTCTAGATGAGGAGCCCCAGGACCACATCCCATGTCTTTCTGTCCCCCCTCCATCTGTCCACTCAGCCTCCATGTCACATTCACTGTGTGGCCAAGATGCCTGGAACGAGCGGTACCCATAGCCACCTGGGGCCTGCTCTCCTAGGCCACATGCAGAATTGTGCTGATGCTGTCATCAGGTACAGTGGCTGCTGGGATGCCAAGATGACACAGCAGATGGCGACTGGCAGCTCGGGTCGGGGAGGTTCCCAAAGGAGGCTCAGACTCGGAACCCAGAGGTCTTGGGGCAGGAGGCAGGCAGAGTCCCCAGAGAGCCCAATGGTAGAGGAGAGCGGAGGAGCAGGGCCTGGGCCAGCACAGCCAGCTGTGTGGCCTTCCCTCTGCAGCTTGACTCTGGCTTGGGAGTTGAGCCCTCCCCTGCAAAGCCCATGCCCAGGATTTATTGTCCCAACCCCTCTTCCACTGCCTGTGCTGTGTCCCTCAGGAAGGACACGTCACCCAGTGAGTAGACCCCCGTAAGGCAGACACAAACCTGTGCTGAGTCGGCACTGATGGCATGGCTGCACACTCAGGCCAGAAGGAGACAGCTGCTGTGTCCTGCTGGCCTTGCTACTGCAGGCCTCTATTTTCCTCCCAGTCAGGCCCTGGACAGCTCTGTGGTACCCAACAGGTACCCTTACTTGAAGATATGTGGCCTTCACATGCCTGACCCCCAGGCCTTGCCACCACTGCCCATCTGTGCCTTAAGCTCGTGCTTTCCTGGGATAGAAACATGGGCTTGCAGACAATCTAGACACCAAACATGCCCATGTGACATCTGACCAGACAGTCTGGGGGGCCACTGGTCACCTCAAGCCTTTGAAGATTAGGCGGGAGCCCTCTCCAAATTCAGCATCTGGCTGCAGATACGTCCACACAGACCAGGCCCTTAATGTCAGACTGTTGGTTTCTTGGCTACCTCTGGCAGGTGTGCACAGGTGTGCAGGCAGGAGGGAAGAGTTACCTGGGTAGATTCTAGGACAGTGGCCACGAGAGGCAGTGTCTATCCCCAGCACAATATCTAGGGCTCTGCTCAGTTATCAGTTGTGATCTGAGCAGCTTTTCCAGGCCAGGCCTCCCTGTTGGCACAGGATGCGGATCCCAAGTGGAGGTGGGATGCTGCTCCAGCCTGGCACTGGTGAGGTCCTGGCCTTTCTCTACCCCAGTTCCCCTTGCAGGGTCAGCACAACATGAGAAGGAAGTAACTTTTAAGGACATCTACTTTGTAGAACGCTCCCTGGCCTCTGGTAACCTTGTAGGTCCTCTAAGCAGGAAGTCGGTGCACGTGGTGGAGTCAGAAATCCCAAGTTGCTTCTAATTTTGAGTCACAAGTACAGGCTAAAAGCAAGGCCCTGGCTGCAATGGAACAGGCTGCCGTCTGCAAGTGACTAGCTTCCCAGGGTTTTCTTCACCCTGGATCAGACTGCTGGGCCCAAAGGCACAGTGGCGGCCTCTCAGGGCTTCTGCCTGGTTGGGCCTGCAGCTCGGCGGCTGTCAGGCAGCTGCCCCAGGAAGGATTCTTAGTTGTAACTAGGACGAGAGCACAGGACTCAGAGAGCAGGACTTCTCCATTACAGGGCTCCCTCACCTGGTTCCAGCTAGAAAAGTCTGAGAAAAATGTTACAACTTGATCCTGGAGGATTAAGACATGCTGTCTCCTGGGACACCCCAAACTCTACAGCTGCAGAGAAGCTCTGAGGTTCAAGGAAAACACAGGACCATTTTGAAATTTCAAAAGACAACTTTATCCAGACAGGAAACTCAGAACAGAGAAAAGTTAGGTAGCAGTTATTAAAATACACTCTTTGCCAAATGACTTAACAATGCAACAGGAGCAGGGTCAATACCAGTGCAGGGTCCGAGCCAATACCCGCCTCACTGCCCTGTGGGGGACAAGAGAAAGTCTCAGTCCCTTCCCCCAAGTCCATACCTTACCCTCCCACCCCAACAGCATCAATCTTAAGGGAAGGTCACAGCCACCTGGGGTGTCAGCGAGCAGGGTGGGCCCAGGCTTTCTGGGGTATCTATGGCAGTAGGAAAATCACATGGGCAGGCTGCTTTAGGTATAGGCCAAAGTTCTTTGGTCAGCAGAACCCAGATAATAAGAGCATCTGCCAAGGTGGATTCCTTGGAAGTCATGCAGATCCCACCTTCTGGCCCAGGTGTGGGAATTCAGGCCTGTGGGGCCTCCTGAGGTGGGGCAGGTGCCCTACCCCATAGACGAGTGCACTGGCTGACACCTTCCTGGGAGGGCGTCTGTGGGGATGGAGTCTCAGGGCACACTGAGCTTGTGTCCGCAGGAAGCACAGCAGGGCACCAAAAGGTGGTTTGGAACATGGCAGTAGGACCTCCAAGGAACCAGGCCAGCCAAGAGGGGCCCAGAACCTTAGGCATCACCTGGGCAGCTCTTGGTCTATTTCCAGGGCTGGGCCAGACTTTAGGTTTCATGCTTCTTGGGGCCAGCTCTGCATGTTACTGCGGGGGGGCTGGGCTCAGACCACTGGGCGTCCTACTTGGTGCCCAGTAATGGTGGCTACAGAAAAGGCCCAACTGTAAAGACATACAGGCCCTGGTGGTTGCCAAGACAGCTTGATACCAGAGAGGCAAATGGAAAGTAGTTGTGAGACCACAACACACTTTGCTGTGTTCAGATGTTCAAAGTTAAATTGCAAGGCAGGGTTGGCTCCCCTCCCCCAAACACCTCCTGGACATCTTTGTGGACCCTGATGTTTGGCTGCCCTCAGCAGGAAGCTACTCTTGGTAGGGATGCAAGCAACCGTTTCAGAATTTGTGAAGCCCAGTGACCATGTCCTCCCATCACAGGTCTTGCCCCGAACTGCTTTTCTGGTACCGTCTCAACCCTCATCCTCAGAGTGGCCGGGAAGTGGCTTTCTCAAGAGAACCAAGTCTTCCTTCAAGGTCTGCCCCATCCTAGCCCTGTAATCAGACTCTATGTCCCCTCCCCTTACTGGAGTGTTAATACAGTTAACGTACAAATAAAACCCAAAGGCATACTGAGGATCAATGAAGAACGGGCTCTGCCCCCCAGGGCACTCCAGAGAGGGCACACAGGCTTCCAGGGGTGAGCTGAGAACGAGCCGATCAGCATCTACAGGACTCACTGAGATTTATGGTTTCATTTGGCCCAAAAATACACCTTTGGGGGCCTCAAATTATCTTTCAAAAAAGTACTAGACATATGAATTTGGACGTTTCCCCACCCCCAGATCCCTTCCACCACCCCTGGATTACTCCCAGGAGATTCAAAGTGAGAAATAAGTCTGTCCGACTCTGGTCTTTCCACGGCCGGCTCTGCTTCGCTGGGGGCTGCAGTTCTGATGTGAATGACAGTGATGTTCCAGCACAGAGACCTCTGCTGGCTGCGGTCACATGATTGCACAGCAGGAGTTTTGTTTCCGGGCCTTGAGAAGGAAAAAGAAGTTGAAGAGCCCTCCCACCTCCACAGACAGTAGACAGGCCCCCCGAGTCAGACAGAGCAACTGGAACCATGAAGGAGAGACAAAGACAGGAAAACTACTCCTATCCTTAAGGCCTCTAGGAAAGCAACCTAGAAGCAGTTCATGCCGGAGAGATAATTTTGTCAACACCCTATTAATGCTTTCATCAGTGTAAAATTTCTGCTATCAGGTCAGGCACAAAGAAACAAAAATGTTAACTGGCCTGGCTGAATCCCCTAATCGGACCCCTACAAAGGCCCCTCCTGACCCCCCAGGTGATGTTTCTTGCTGAGGACATCTTCAAGACTGCCCTGGTCCCCACTTGGTTGATGGGGAATATGTTACTTTTTCTCTCCTTGATTCCTGGTCCCAGAGTTTCACTAACCCCACGGGCCACCATCTCCTTCCAAGGCACACATAAGAGCAAACTGTGAAATACTTCTGCCAAAAGGAAAGGACTAGAGGCATAAGAACCTCTTTAGAAAGGCTCAGCCATGGACGCCGTCATGGCATGCGCCTAACTGCTCCTAGGCAACAGGAATAAGGGTCAATCCCTGGGTACAGAACCGAACTAGTTTTGTGATCCCGGGGGCAGCAGCCTGGAGGAGTGCTGATACCCCCGTCAGTCTGCTGCTGCTGACTGGGGAACTTACAGCTGTCACCATACATGACAAAACATTTCAAGAAATATTCCAATTTAGTGGAAGAGTAACACAGAAAGAGCTGTTCTCAGAAGGGTGCCCAGGGGCAGCGACTCACCGTTTTGTAGAAGGCTTTAGACTGTGTCCCCAGCACTTCAGATTTGGACACTAGGTCATCTAGCTTCTCCCCTCGCTCCAACAAAGATTCCATGGTGTTGTGCTGGACAAAAAGTAAGAGAGAACTCTTCGCGCTTGTCGCAAAGTGAGCTGACTGAAGTGGTCTAGATAGTTTAGATAACCACACTCCAAGACAGAAGGCTACAGCTGTATTTACACACACATATTCCTACTGGGCAGAAGAACTTCCTAAACGAGAACTGTGTCAAATGTCGTGACTACCAACTCTCCAAAGCATCTTGCGTTTGGGAAGTCTGAGCACACATCAGCCGCCCCCTTTGAAAGGCTGGGGGATGGAAGCTCTCGGCTGGCTTGCTTCCTCGGTACAGCCATTTCCAGAGTGGCTGCAAGGCCCCAGCAGCCTCTTGAGAACAAGCAGTAAGACCCCAAGTATGCACATGTGGAATGGCAGGATGAAAACTGAACAAAACCATCCTTTATCTCTTCACACATCTGAGCAACTCAGATTTCTAATATAGAAAGTTAGCTAGACTAAGACAGGGATAGGATGAGGGGGTGTGACAGTAATTCAGCCACAGCAGGGCTGGTGACTGAGACCTAGCTGCTCTTTGCAGTGGAGGGAAGGGCAGTGAGTGTGTGTCCCCTCAGATTCCCAAGCAGCAGGAGGAAGAGACAGGGCTTTTAAGAAAAGCGGGTAACTGTTACAGATGACATCTGTCATTTGAACAGTCACATCTAACTTTCATTCCAAAGCCTCAAACCCACATTATTCAAGCATGGGTCCAGGAGACTTGTATAGGACACAGGTGCCTGGGCCCACCCTGGACCTGATGCCTGGTGTGCAGACTGAAGGTGACTGGGAGGCAAGGGAGCAGCTAGAGGTAGAGGCCACAAGGGCCAAATCTAAGTTGAAAACAGATGCTTCTATATGTGCCAAAGCAGCTCAGAGCAAAACCAAACAAAAAAAAAAAAAAGGAAACAACAGTTAACAAGTCGGAGATTTTGGTTAGGAGCGCAGGATTCTCACTCTTAAAATGGGCCCTCCTGGCCTGAATTCAAGTGATGCACACAGGCACCGCCTGCCCTGCTACCCAGGCCCTGAAAGGGAGGAGCCCGCTAGGCTTCTGGACAAGCTAAAGGAAACATAACGACAGAGCTCCAATCCTCAAGCCGGTCATGGCCAGTCGGGACAGGGAGGGGAACCAGGGGTCACATGAGCAACCAGGCAGGTCCGTTGTGTCACGGGTGCCGTTAACAAGATGGGATCCAGAGGTACAGATCAGGAGTTGCCTGAGGGAGACTGCCTGAGCCTCTGATGCAAGGGGAATGGGGAACCAATCACCATTTTCGGAGAAGTGCTTCCCATATGATTCAAACTGGCACTGACTCTGAGCATGCCTGGCTGCTGGCAAGCCCTTTTGCCCCTCTGTTTTGTTATTTGCTCTCCCACCTCCTTGCTTACCAGAATGATTTTGGTCTCATCTAGTTCAGCCTGTACTTTAGACATAGGGTCAGCTTCTCGGGGATTCTAGGTAAAAATCAAAAATAAGGGTTAATGTCAGGACTGCGCAACCATCTGAAGTTAAAAAACAGGCCAAAGGACACACGTGCATGTTAAAAACTGCAGACTGTTCACACACACAGCAGACAGGCAAAAGCCTACCTCAGGGCAGAGGTTTCAGGTTTTCATGCAGGTCCTCACATTTATCAAAGGGACGCCAACACCAGCGCTATCAGAAGTCACCAGAACCACAACCACCAGGGCCGCAGGCACTCTCTGTCCCATGTGGCTCTAGGTCACAAGGTGTCCACACAAGGTTTCTTTATACTCTACCTGGTATTTACTAAGGTGAAAGCTCAGGTCGTCATACTTGATTTTAGCAGGGTTTCCGTCTGGCCAATCTGTCCTGTTAACCTGCGTGGTGAATTCGTCCAGTACCTGTAAGATAAAGGAGCTCATAACACCTCACCCTCACAGAAACAGGAATGACTCAAAAGCCTCACCCCCAAAGCAGCTCTCAGGCCCTTAGGGCCCAAGGAGGAGGGAAAAGGAAGACAATGTCACAGGTAAAATGTAGGCTTGTGTTCCTCCTTTCCAAGTAACCTGGGAATTAAAAATGAAGAATGCCTCCTAGTTTGAGATGGCCCTCACCTAGTAAGTGATAAAAAAAATTAGGATTTTAAACTGCATATTTCCACCATATCAGGTTATGACTTCCAGGGAAAGGGTCCTGGCCCTATTTTTCCAAAGGCAATTCTTCAAAATGAGATTTAAATCCTTCAGATTGAAGCAACCAATGGATTTTATGTGCTTGTCAGTGTATTACAGTCTTGGGGATCAAGGTGTGGGCAATGTCTTAGCAGTCTGCATCAGCACCACGTGAAGAAACTGTAGAATACCACAGAAGTCCTAGGTGTCAAGAAGGGCAGGCTTGGGTGGCTAGAGGATGGCTTCACAGAGCATGGGGTCACCAAGCCTGGAGTTGGTGTGGCCCAGAAGGACCTGAGAGTTAGGACTACCGAGGGCAGAGGCAGGAAGAGAGGTGGTTAGCGGAGTGAGGAGTGAGACCAAAGCCGGACCTTGTCCGAAGCCCACCCCAGGAGAGATGCTGTGACTCGAGCAGACAGCAGTCAACGGTGGCACCAGGGACACTAGTCTCGGCACACGTTGGGGGAGGTGGAATCAGCACCAGCAGGGGCCTGGGAAGGGACGTTAGACGGCCTCTCAGTTTCGGGTGAGGACAAAGCTGAAAATGAGTTGATATGGGACACACTATTTCATCCCTTATACCGAGCACTGTCATTGCTCCTGGCCCTGGTTCATTCTAGTCATTCAAGTCTGGTCCAGCCAAACTACAAACTCACCTTTTCCAACAAGGTAAAAGCCACCCGGGATGGATATTCACTGTCAGCAATGACCACTCCTGCGAGACTGTCATTTCGCACATAGACATGGCACAGGTATTCTAAGGAGATAAAGAGGCCAGACACACAAAGGATAACAGGAGGGCCTTACATTAACCTTATCAAGTCAGTTAAAACATCTCAATGCCGGGCCCCTGCCTTTTGGATGAATGAAGCCACATTGAGCAATGTTTGCGGACAGGTCCTATAGCACAGCTCCGTGGAACTCACCAGGATGGTGCACAGAAAGGCTCTGTCAACTTGGCCTGACACCTGTTTTAGGACAAGTAAATGCCCACAGGCCTAGTGTGCAAAGCCAGCATCTAAAGGAGTTGCCAAGGTACAGAAAACACATCCCAGGCAACATAGCCATGGTGCCTTCCAAGCCGCACCACTGAGCTCCAGGTCAGACAGGCTGTCTCTTGCAGCCCTTGGAGTCTCTGCTCTGTTCCCAAACTGGACAAACTAAGTAGCCTCTACTGAGAGTGGCCAAAACCAAGAAATCACCTCAGGGTCTCAGCTTCCTTATTACAGCAACCCTGCCCAGCCTGCTTCATTCTGTGGAGGACCACAGTAGAGGCGGGAGGGAACGAGGGAGAGAGGAAAGAAGGCACACAGAGAAGAACAATTAGCTACTGCTAGAATTGCTGTGTCTCTACAGGTACAGTTTGTACCAGGATTTATGCAAAGTATTCACAATTCAAGGATTAATTTTCATCACTTTGAAGTCACTCTATGGAATCACCACTTCATCACACATGACAAAGCTAGTCATATTTCCAAGATAAGAGGAACATAAAGATATAGATATCCTCATATCTTAAGACATTCCCCAAGTAAAAGGAGTGGCTGAAGAATAAAAACCTTCTTGTCCTGAAGACTGCTGCCCAAAAGGTTCCAATGCTAAGAGACAAGGAAAGGGGGAACCATGAGCCCCTGCAATCTGAAAAGGACAGAGATAAATGAGAACAGGACAAGGAGGAGGACAGGGGATCATCAACACACTCTGGATTTTGTAAAATTCCCACAGAAAATTCAAACGTGGGGTCAAAGTACACATGCTCCATTGAACCTGAGATGCAAAGTGACCTCTGAGCTCATACAGTACGGGGACACTGCTCCTGGCTTCATTCCTTTCCCGCCCAACCTTAGTAACAAACACTCTGTACAGCAACACAAATACAGGTAATTACAAATCACCACAACCCGTCAAACCACAGCTGTTGCTTCCACCCACTTCAGTATCTGAGGAAATGTCTTTAAGTAATATAGCTGGGGAGGCAGTCAGGAAAACTGAGAACACTGAATTGTTTGTGAATTAATTTCACTTCTGGGCCGTAAATACAACAGAGATCCCACAGAGAACTCACACGCTCAACACAGCCCGCGCAGACTGAGATACATCACAGGTACAGCTCTTCCACGTCACATAACCCAAGGTCAGCACGAAGTGCAATGGTTCCTTTTCTGTCTGATAAAATTCATACACACCTTTCAGATGTCTTTATGACATGTTTCTAAGGTAAAGGCTTAAAATTGTTATAGGAAACCTAAAGCATGAAGACGGAAAAGTCAGTCAAGAAGAAAACATCATGAGTTTTCAGATTTCTAGTTCAAAATCTAAGAAGCACAGAATGCAGTATTACCTCAACAGGCTAGCTGGAAATTCTTTTTTAAGCGGTCTACTACTCTGGAAGGGAAAGAAGATACAACAAGATAGATGCTTATTGCTCAAGAGAGTCTTAAGCAAGTCCAAACTTTGAGGGTGACTTAGTCCAGGGAGCTTAGACATCAACGGTGAGCACAGAATTTAATGTAAACAGAAAAAGGAGGGGAGAGAACAAGCCGGCAAAGCACGGGGCCCTGGTGGCCCTCTCTGTGGTGAGCAGACAGCTCATGCTGAGAGCTGCAGGCTGCCTGAGGCCTGGCAGGGGGCAGCACAACTCACGAGAGGGCAGGTGCTCTTACCTTGTTCTTTGACAGAAGCTCTGATGCCTTTTGCTGAGCGCTCCACAATCAGTTGACTTGTGAAGGTCATGAATTCCTGAACACTAAGAAACACAACACGTGTTACCTATTGCCATCACCTTGTACCTAACATGATGCAGGTAATTTATACAGTAAGGACACTCTGCTTCTTGGCTTCATTCCTCCCAACCTTAGTAACACTTTGTAGATCAACACATTTGCACCATTACAAATCACCACAGCCCTTCAAACCACATCTGTTGCTTTCACCCACTTTTGGGTATTTTCTACATTTTGGTCAGAGTATGACTTGGGAGACCGTGGAGACAGAAGCCAAGTCCTGTTCCTGAAGCCCACTAACTTCCAAGAAGGAAGATAAATAAACTGCATTAGAAAAGCAGTGTAAAAACTTCAGCGCTGTGGCCACACAGTGAGCACTGAAAATGCCACACACACCTGCAGTGAATGCTCACTCTGCCAGAGCACAGAGCCTCGGGTCTGCAGGGCACCTGGAAGGAATGGAGAGCAGCACCTTAGCCGGGGTAAGAATGTGGGAAGTAGATTACACTAAGGCTCAAAGAAGGGAAGGGATTCATAGGCACAAAGATCTGGCCTGAAAAGAAGAGACACAGGTGACATACAGTTGAGTCAGAGGAAAAGGGGCTATGTGAGGCCTCTGACTGGGAATGCCACAAGCAGAACTGTTCAGAGCAGGATGGAGGCCAGAGCAGGGCTCCAGCAGGTGTTCAAGCTTCGGACACCACGCGGAAGAACAGAGCCTCAGGTCTGCAGGGCACCTGAAGGCATAGAGACACTCCTCCCCCAACTTTGACATGAACTTCCCTGCTGGGACCCCCATCTCCACTGCTTATAAGATGGATGCTTACACTGTGCGTCAACTGGAAGATCAAGATTTTCTGTGACGATTAAGTGAATTACTACATTAAAGCTCAGCACGACACCTGGTGCACAGTACTACTTGTTACTGTAATCTTGAGGGCATTATGATTAAAATAGTCCTTTAGAGGTTTCAGTATAAGAAGTCCTTGCAGTAAAATTAAAAGGATATAGAGCTTAGAGTAGGAACTGCTTTTATTGAAGAAGTCTGCTATAAGGGCTAGAAAACCACGCAGAGGTTTTAAGCTTGGACTTTGACAATCACGGGGAAAGAAGGATGGAAGTGGGAGACTGAGAAAAATCACTGAGCTCAGCCGGAGTATGTTGTTTTCAGAGACACTTAGCAGAGGTCCCTATAGCACTGCAGTTGTGTTCATCGTCTCAAACTGATATGGTACCCCAATACCAGTGTGGTAAAGTCGTACAGTGAAATTGCTAAGGATCTTTAGTATACATGGGCAGGGGAGAAAGAAAAAGAACCAGAGCCGGCTGTCCTGGCACCATAAGTCCCATCAGAGAAGCACTTTCATCACAGAACAGAGAATAGGGGCCGAAGCAAAGAAAGCGAAGCAGCAAGATCAAGGAGGACCCAAAAGCAGCAGAAAGTTTCAACAAAATAGCAACAGAAATAATTTTCAGATCCTGCCAGCAAGTCACTCTCATCAAGAACAAAACAGCAGCACTGAAGCAGTGAAAACAATCTAGATGGCAGATTCTACTGGAGATGGACCCTTAGAGGTCCTCTCCTTTCGTGTCTGAATCACTGACCACTCCCTCAGGGGCTGCCAGTGTCCCTGGTACTTCTCATACACACACTCCTGCAGTTAAAGTGCCCCATGGGGAAAAGAAAAGCTTGCAAGCCTTACAAATCCCACACTTCACCCCAAATCTTCAGTGTGGAATGTTTTTACATTACTAATAGCCGCTTATAAAAATCATACAATTTGGGTTTGACTTTTGACTGGATGTGTTCTAACTTTTGGGCCTCAGTGATTTCATCCATATAGAAGGGTGAGCATATCACTATCTCCCTTACTAGCTAGCTGGAGAATCCCACCATATGATATAATCGTGACTCTCAGGTACGCACCCAAGATGCCTGGGTAAGAATCACCGGATTGGGCTCTGTGTGTGCGTTTAAAATAGATTTCTGGACTTCAAGTGACTAGTTCAGAACGTCTGGGGTGAACCACGGGAAACGGCACTTTTACAACGCCTGCTTGTAATTTTCATACGACGAATATTTGAAAAAGAGTAGGAAAGTGTATCTTAGAATACAGTAAAACCTTTTGACGAGAGAAAGGAGAACGACTGCTCAGCTTCAGCCTACAGACGGAGGAAGCGCCCAAGCCTGGCTCCAGCGCTGAAGGCAAAGTCCCAGCCGCCGGGATTCCGGGGCCGCTTCCAATCACGGGCTTCAGGCGGCCCCCACCCCGGGGTCCCCAGACCACTGGTCTTCCCAACGCCCGCCTCCTGGCCCTCGGGACGCCCCAGACCCCGACCCAGGCCTCGCTCCACCCGGCCTCTCCCGGCCTCGGGTCTTCGCCAAGCCCTGTAAACCCCGAGCTCCCAGACCCGCCAGACCCCGAGGCCTCCCCAACTGGAACGACGGCGCCGCCCACCTGGACCTCTGGAAAAAGCTGAAGGAGGACACATCGTACGCGGCTTTGAGCAGCACCACCTTGCCGTTGCCTTTGTAGAGGACGCTGAGGCTGTACAGCTTCATGGCGACGCGTCCTCGGGTACACCGCCCGCCCGCGGGCCCCGCTGGCAGGAGCAGCCCAGTCACCGCCCCTCGGGTGCTGACGGGTTGAACGCCGGCTTCCTCCTGGCTCGGCGTCCACTTCCGGTTCCGGTTAAGGGCCTCAGTCGGCAGATAACGTAGGCTTTCGTGCCCCGGATGAGGAGGGAACTCCCCGGAAATACGTACGAGGGGCCGGGCGCCGGGCAGCTGTGTTCGTGGAAGCCCAGTCTGTTTCCGCCCTGGGGTGGTCCTCGGCCGTCTGCGCTCTGCTGGGGCCTCCGGCCTCGGCCCGCGCCCGCCGCGTCAGTCTTGAGCTTCCATTTGCCTGTTCCTCAGAGTAACGGGAGCAACGGCAACACCACACACCTGCCTTGATTTAGGGAAAGTACCTTTGTGGAAGTGTTTTATAGATAACATATTTTGAGTGAAGGGCAGGAGCCCCTCTTGTAGGTTCCTTCAGGGGTGTAAAGATTCCTTACGTGCCCTTCCACATCGTTCCTTGTTAGTGTGGGAGGCAATCCCTGCTTGCACAGGACTCCTCAGCACCAGCTGGCCCACCACGGGTAAAACTCACTGACTAAGCACTGATTTAGGAGGTAACTGCTGACCTTACAAGAGTAATACAACTGCTTCACCTCAAAAGGGGCAGAAATTCACCACACTGAGGGAACAACTTGGTGCACAGTGACCTGGATGGCCTCATTTGCTGGAGATGTGCAAACAATACTTTGTCAAGGGATGGGGATAAACAAAGCACAATTCTCTAAGGGTACCACATCCTGCCCATTTCTTTTTGGCATTTCTTAAATGGCATCATGTTATCAGAAGCGATCTTTCAGAACACATACACACACAGTAGTTTCAGTCTTTGGAAATCGGCAGTAAGGTTACACAGTCATCATTTAGAGGCAGTCAGATCTGAGATGATAGGAAAGAGATGATGTATTTGAAAAAACAGCAGCATTACTCTAAACATAACCGTAAAGGAAAGTTTCTCAACCTTGACATTATCGACATTGTCCAACAGATGGAAAACTGTTGTTGGGTGCTGTCCCTTGCACTGTAGGCAGGAACTCAGGCCTGTACCCACTAGATGTCAGTAGCATCTCACCTGCCACCAAAATGTCACTGGAAAGGGGCAAAGTGCCCCTGAGAGTGATGTTTTAAGAGAACCATTGATTTAAATACTCTGAGGTAAAGAAGTTCCCTCTACCTGCGTTTTCATTCAGCACCTACCTTTCCAACCTCCTCCCTGAGCATTTCTAAGTGCAGAAGGTGGAAAGAGCTTTTCCACATTCTTTCCATTTTGGTATTAAACCTCAAGAAGAGCTATCAGTCAATGCCAGGCCACCCAACCACAGATGTGGGCACACTAGCCTGCCACTGGGTACACACGATGACAGAACAGCCCATCCCAGCTGTGCTGACATGGTCACCCTGCAGAGGATGGATGTGGGAGCCATTTTTGAGCCACTAAAAGTTGTTCAAAAGGACTGAAGAACTTTGTTTGGTAGGAGTCAATTTAAATGTATTCACTTGACACATAATAGTAGTTATCCTGAAGTTTCCCTTACACCAAGCACTTTCCATGAGTTACTTTATTTAATCCTTCTTACAGATGTGGAAACAGATTCAGGCTAAGGAAGATGTCAATACCAAAACAGAATGAACTCTCTCACAGTCCATCTTCACACCTGGCTGCTTTCCACCTATTCTCAATACTTGCTCATCTGCCCCAGGAAGCCTCACTTGTGGCTGCAAGTTCTCTAAGCTTATTCATCTTACTGGAAAGGAAGACTCATCTTCCACTGCATTACCTCAACTATCAACCCAATTGGATCTAGTCCAGGCATTAAGATAAACTATAAAACTAAACAACTCATCAACCTCTCTGAGACAATTTTTTGACACTCCCTTCCTCATCATCCCCTCTCCCTCCCTGCCCACTCCTTCTCTCATCTGTAAAATGAAAGCTACCCTTTCCATAGGCATGTTGCTGGGAATAAGAAAAGTTCTGATCATAGCAGATGTTTAACAAATAACAACAAAGATTATTAGTGACAAAAAGGAGGTGAGATCATCTTTTTTTCTCTTCTCTTCCCATGAGATTTGATGCTTTTCTGTAAAGATTCTGAGCAGTTTATCATAAGCTTTGATCCTTAGTTCCCAAAGTATGCCAAAGTGTACCTTTAGCTCAGACTAGCTGCAGTTCCAGAACTGACTTTATGGCCTATGGGCATGCCTGCAAAGTGACCAGATCTGTGCAGATATAACAGAGAAAGAAAACAATGGAACACAACATTACACACCAGTGGGGAAAGGGGAAACCACAGAGTATTAGACTCCCATCTCATACCACACGCAATATGGATTCTAGAAGGACTAAAATACTAAACATTAAATAAAGGAAAATATTAGAAAGAAATGTGGCAGTATATTTTTACAGTTTGGGAGTGGTAAGTACTCTTTTTTAACAAGCTATGACTAGCAAAAGAAGAAAGCAAAAATTGACATTTATAAGAAGTACATATTTCTATGTGACGAAAGACATTATTAACCAAGTCATAAAGTTGGTAACAGACTTGAGACGATATTAGAGTTATTTGAAGACTGGATTGATGATATGCTAGATGGAAAATAAACATGTACAAGTTGCTAGATAAAAGACTATATAAAGCCAAATTATAATAAAATCAAATTATATAAACAAATAATTTTTAGAAAAAGAAGTACAAATTACCATTAAATATAGAAAAATATGTCTAGAACTTTGTAATTCTAACAATGAAATGTCACATCAGCAAACAATTATAAAAATTTCTCATTCCAAGGACTGACTAACATACAAACTCTTTTTTTTAAATATTTTATTATATATATATTCTTCATTTTGTACATTTTTTTATGTCTCTTGTAATCCCTTGGACTTCCTACCACCACTTCACCCATGTGCCATCACCATGGTCCCATGCGCTCTTCCCACCCCCATTTTGATCCTGTTTCCCTCTCCTCTCCCATAGAATGTCTCCATACAGCCAAACTCTTAATGTTGGTGGAAGGATAATAAATTGATTTGAGGAGGATAATAAACCACTGAGGAGGCAAGGTAGTCCTAGCCACCCAAATGTAAGATGTGCGCAACATTTGACTATCAAGTCAGCATCTAGGAACCATCCAGAAGAAGCACAGGCAATCAAAATACAAAGACTTGTATCAGGGGAAAAGTGAAACTGTCAAGATGACCATCAATAGGAAACTGCTTTTTTTTTTTTATTTATAGTTTATTTTTACACAATTTTGCACATTTGGAAACTGCTTTTTTAAATGTTGCAGCACATCCATCTGGAGAAGCTTCACCGGCTATTCCCACACCTTCTGCTGGACCTCTCCCCTCATTGGTCTGTGCCACACTGTTCAAGATGGCAACCACTCTGTTTACAGTGTGGCCTGTCCCAACTGAGAATGTGCACTAAGTGTGACATACACACCAGACCTCAGAGTTTTAAGCTGGAAACATCTATTGGGATCATCTGTAGTCACCCACATTTTGCTCCAGGAGGTTAAGGGAACACCATAGCTTCCTCCCACTCTATCCCTAGGGTTTTCTTCCTAATGGTATGGGGGTGCATGGGTGTGCATGCATCGCAGCTGGGGAATTACCTGAGCAGGGTAGGGGCGGATCCCAGCCCCAGCCTCTGTTCTGGCTGGGCCCACCATTCCAATTCAGGTGTCAAGAAGATAAGCAGGGAAAGCGACAACAAAACTTGCTGGTGGTCTGGGCACACATGGCGTGCTGGTGTTGGTTCAAGCCCATATGGCAAAGCTGGTGACCAAGCCGCCTGTTCCCTTACCTCTCTGGCTCCCAGACTCACAGGGGCCTCTGCTCCTTAAGGGTAAGGCTGGGATACCCTGTGACCCAGCCCTGTGACAGGTGGCAAAGTCTGCAGTGACCAGGTGATTGGGCTGTCGCTATGGTGATGGGGATGGAATCTTTTACCATCAGCTCCAGTTTTCTGCATGGCAGCTCTAATGACAGGATGGTCAGCCCTGCTGAGGCCAGAGGGCTGAACGCAGAGGCCCTGTTCCTGGTTGCCATAGCAGCCACAGGCCCTCTCTCCAGCTCAGAAGGCCCTGGCAGAAGTCCTCGCTCCACACCTAGTCGAAGCAGGAAGTGTTGAGCGGTGACTGAGCCATGGAGAAGCAGGTTGGGATGTGAGAGCAACACAGTCACCTGTGGCCTAATTACTCAAAAGCTGTCTCCGCACCAGGGGAGAGGACCTTTTCTGCTGAGTCTGTCTAAGAACACCACGCTCACAGCTCAGTTCAGCTGGAGAGAAGGCTGACCAACGTTGAGGACGCTGCCCCAGAACCCAGTGATGGTCTGGCCCCTACGATACTCTGCCTGACACGTCTTCAGTAGGGACGGGTTCCAGGTGTGGCCTGGAAGAGAAAGATTGCCAATTTTCAGGAGAACAATGAAAAGGAAGAAACTGTAATTGAATCTCAAGCCAGGAAACAGCTGGAAGGTGGACCTTATTCTCCCAGCCCCTTGGCTCCCTTGGTTGGGAGAAGCCTTGGGATACTGCTGCTTCAGAAACCTTTTGGGAACGTTGAGGGGAACCCAGCTCACTTGGGTTGGGTTGGCTGCTGTACAAATGCTGGATGACAGAGCCAGGATGGAGAGCGCCAAGAAGGAAAAGGTAGTTTGCTGCCTCATTGGGTTTTCTAGGAAGTGTGTGTTGTGAGTCCCTGATGTTTGGTGGTTTGTTTATCTCGGACAAGCAGGATTTGGTTGTATGCACAGGCCCGTCGAGGAAGAGGTGCTGAGATGAATTGTGGGACAGACTTTCTTGGGCAGAAGACCCATCTTCCTAGCAGACTGGGTCCTCTCCTCACTGCTTCAGATTCAGCCTTGTGCCCTAGGAGTTAGGTCTGGGAAGTGACCTCTGTTGGTAGAGAGTCTGGGGAGTTAGAGCTGCAGCTGAGGTGCCTGAGGGCACAGGGTCTGAGGGCAAAACCAGCTGTTTTGCCTGAGTCAAGACAGATACCCTGATAGGCCCAACAGGCAACCTTGCTTG